ATAAGTCCTGTGGAGTGCTGTGAAAATTTCTCCAGCTATGAAAACTCTCCATAAAATATTCTGATTTTCATAGTCTTAACTTCTTTGAAGAGAGAAGACTTCTATTGCTAACTTTCCATACAGAGGACATTGTTGGCATGCTCCTTCCCCCTCCCTCTGGAAACCCAATCTGAGAAAATTACAGTGGGGCTAAAAAGTTTGTGAACCCTTTGGATTGCCAGTATTTCTGCATAAATGTGACCTAAAATGTGATCTGTTCCCACATAAAGCCTAAACGTAGACAAAGAAAAGCCCGATTAAACAAATACGACAAATACTTTGTTCATTTATTTATTGAGGAAAATGACCCAAAACTACATATTTCTGTGTAGCAAAAATATTCTTAGAGAATCAGTGCATTAATACCATTTAGAACAGTAAGACAATCTGATCACTGGAAACTGAACGTGTCAGAGTTGCCACAACTCAAACCTCTAAACCAGGGGTCCCCAAACTTGAGCAACTTTAAGACTTGTGGACTTCAACTCCCAGAATGCTGGTTGGAGAATTCTGGGAGTTGAAATCCACAAGTCTTAATGTTGCCAAGTTTGGAGACCTCTGCTCTAAATAGAAACAATCCTTGAATCAATTTGTTAAGAAAGGTAGAGTTTATTAGAGATCAAGTGCATTGCAGTAGTGTAAGGGTGTCAAACTATGCCCCCCCCCAGCCAGATGCATCATGTGCTGGTCCCGGCCGTTTTAGCGAAGGAGAAAAAAGTCCCGATATGTCACGTGACGACGCGAGTTTGACACCCTTGCAGCCGTGCAAAGCCAGAACTGAAAACCGCGCACCAAAATCCCTAAGTTCTATTCTTTCCTCCCTTCACTGTCTCTCGGTGCTCCCCCCAGGGTAACCAATCTGGTTCAAGCAAGGTGTTTTCCTAACAGTCAATTCAAGCCCAGGTTGGTATGTGGACCCCTCCTTCCAGCTGGGTGACTGTAGGAGATAAAACATTTCCTTTCGTTTCCCCGAAGCATTCTTCCCCCCCCTTCATTCCTCCCCCCCCCACACACTTCATGGTAGTCTGTCACTACAGTGAAGCATAAGGTTGCAGCTGATAGTCTGAATCATTTAAAATGAAGGGCAAAAGCAGGAGCCGATGTGCCAACAGTGCGAGGAATTGCTCTGCTACAGGCTGCTTAGTCCTGAGAGGTGGAAAAAGGTTCCTCCTGGCTCTTGTGCAGGGTGGCAACCTCGCTCTGTGGGTGTGAGAGATTTGCATGCGTGGCTGAGGGAAGAGCTGGGTGTGAGTATTGCGTAGCCTGTATTGCGTAGCCTGCTGCGTGGAGGCACCTAATCCCACAGCACCAGTGTGTTCCCATATCATTGAGCTCTGAAAGGGCCGACTTCAATGCTGAATGCCCCTTTCTGCACACTGAATGGGGAGATCACACAGTGATAGTCCTCGACTTAACAGCAGTTCATTTAGTGACTGTTCAAAGTTACAGTGACATGGAAAAAAGGGACATGACTATTTTTCACAGTTACCACCTTTGCAGCATCCCCATGGGACACATGATCAAAATACAGATGCTTGGCAACTGGTTCATACTTATGACCGTTACAGCATCCTGGGGTCCCCCCTTTTTTTGGGGGGGGGGTGACCTTCTGACAAGCAAAGTCAATGGGGAGCCAGATTCCTTTAACAACCTGGTTACTAATTTAACAATGGCAGTGATTCAACAAACGTGGCGAGAAAAGTCATAAAATGGGGCACTGGACAAATTTTTCATTTAGCAACATAAATTCTGGGCTCTATTGTGGTCTTAAGTCGGGGACTACTTGTAATTTAAAATGGCTGGAAAACCAGGATCTTGTCAGGAGGACAGAAGTGGAAGAGTTTTGGGAAGGCAGTTCTTCTAAGGTAGCTAAACTGCATTCCTTCTGCGGTCTCATAAATGAAAACATCAAAAAACAGTCCTGTCCCAATCCCAATCCTTGCTCCAGATTTGTTTTTTGTAGGACTTTAAGTCAAGGCTTGCGTGCATATTTTATATTTCAATTGATTGCTAATGCCAGGGGAGGGGAGTCCTTCAAGTGGATTATTTCCTTGAGAGCATCACTGAGGTATATTTCACAGCAATGCTTGGTACTCGGGAGACAAACTCATTTCCTTCAGTTTTTGTAGGAGGGTGGCTTTCCCTAAAATGGGCAGTTGCTTTTGAAAGTGGATCTCACGTTCTAGCTAGTCCAGGGGAACTTTTGTCTTCCTTCTGTGTTGGAGTGCTCAGCATTGGGATGCCTTGGTAAATATTTATTTTTTTATTTGTCAAACATGTACAAGATAACAAGTATAGCTATGAACATAAACATGAACAAAGGAAGTAAATACAGATAAATGGGGACAGTAAGAAAGGGACAGTAGGCACACTGGTGCGCTTATGCACCCATAAGATATTCCGATATTGTCTCTGAATATTGTTATCTCCCAGTGTCCGAGAATGTATGCACACAAAGCATCCACATTTGCAATACACATTCAGTGTTTTTCATCTTGAGGTGGTCTTGAATGATCGGTGAAAATTCCTCTCCTGGGGATCTTCTCCCAGGGACGGAATTTCCACCCATCGTTCCTGTCCATGTCAAGATGAAGAATATCGAATTTGCTGTTGCAAATGTTATCAACAGGAGACTTTAAGTTTCTGTCTGAACTCCGTAAGGTTGAGTAAAAATGTCTTTGGTCAAACCATCGTGCCCTTGATTGTGCTGAGGGGGCTCTGGCTGAATCCTGCAGACTCTGGGAAGACCCACAGTACGGATTTTAGATTAAAAACTTGCAGAATGGAGTGGGAGAAGGAGCCGTAATAGGATTATTAAATAAGCCAAGGAAAAGCCATTAGTTCATAAATCTTGTTACATCTACCGTAAAGCTCAGGAGGGTATGAGCAAAATGAGCTTGAACTCAACTAAGAATGGGAAAGCAAGGGCAATGCGCCGGATCTCATAGGGACACTGGGATAATTTCCACACTCCATTGGCTATAGCAGCTGAAGGATATGGGAAGCCATAGCTATCTGCACCTGCTTAGAAATTAGTTAATTTAGTAAAAGTGTGGAAAACATTGGCATTAAAATCAGGAGATAAACAAGAAGAACAATTCTGTATTATTTACGATAAATCAAGAAGTTGCATATGCTGCGTTCCAAAGCGAAAAAACTGCAAAGAGGCTATTAGAATGAAGAGGGATTTTAATTGCTCCAACCTCTCTTGGAAAACAAACTGAACAGGGTTCTTCCAGGAAGCACCTCTCGCTGACAATGCTGCCCTTCAGACAGGAAAGGGGAGCATAAAAGTATATTAACTGCCAGTGGCTTGATACTGACTGAAGAATAAAATCTAGTAAACGACATGGAAGCACAATAAAAAGAACATTGGAAGAAAGCCAGGATTGAAGCTTTACTTAAAAGTGTGTGTGCAGCCTGCTTCATTCAGGGGAATCTGCCACTTCCACTGCAGCTCAGCATATGGTCTTCAGTGACTGGAGCAGCTTTTGGAGTCGGGCTGGGGGTGGGTGCAGTTCTTCCACCCTTATTTGGAAATGCCTCTGAGGTCTCTGGGCAGACCAAGTTTTTTGTGGCTAAATTGCAACGTTTTGCATAGTAAATATGTTTTTGAAAACAACGTTCACGAAGTGGCAGCCTTTGGTTACCAAATATAATAATGACAAATTAAATGGGGTTTTAATTACCCATTGGTTTCATGGAGGGCTTACTTTGATAAAAACAATCTTCTCGTTGGACCCTTTCCGTGTGAGCCTGTTGATGCTTCCCTTCCCCCCCCCCCCCATCTCTCCCTGCATTACGTTCCTGTCAAGTAGAATAGAATAGAGCTGGAAGGGACCTTGGAGGTCTTCTAGTCCAACCCTCTGCTGAAGCAGGAGACTCCAGGTGTCACCGTCCTTTCCTCATTCATAAATCTTAACCCTCAAATTCTGCTCAGTGCTGTGCTTGGATAGTCTGAACTTGGATAGTTAATCATACTTGTTTTAAATGTAGTGCAACAAATTGGAAGAAAGCGCAATAAGTAAACTAATGTGTCGCCTTTCATTTTTGTAAAGTTCAGGTTTAATAGGAACATATTGCAGGTAGTCCTCATCTTATGACCACAGTTAGGACCAGAATTTGTATTGATAAGGCAGTCGTTAAGTGAGTCACGGCCAATTTTAATATCTTTTTACCACAGTTGTTAATTGAATCACTGCAGTTGTTAAGTGGTCATTTAATGAATCCAGCTTCCCCCATTGACTTTGCTTGTCAGGACCCAGCTGGGGAGGTCATAAACGGCGGTCACATGACCCTGGGACACAGCAACCATCATAAAGTCATATCAATTGCAAATCCCAAAATTTTATTCACATGACCGGATGCCGCAGTGGCCGTAAGTGCAAGGACAGGTCATAAGTTACCTTTTTTTCAGTGCCATTTTTAACTTCCAGTGGTCACTAAATGAGCAGCAGTGGTGAGGGCTACCTGCAGTAGTTAGGGTATTTTTCCAGAATGCATTCCTAACTTCAGCCTTATCCTCCAGGGAATTGGTGCAAGAGGAGGAAGAACAGTTGATGGAAGAAAAGAGAAAGAGGAAAGACGACAAGAGAAAGAAAGAAGCTGCTCAGAAGAAGGTGAGTGGGGGGGGGGGAGTAAGGTGTTTCGTAAAGTGAAGTTGTGCCCTGGGGTTACCTGGATGATGTTCCAGATGTGTGCACGCTACTTAAGATACTTGCTTGGGGCGTATTAATTTAGGGGGGAAAAGTGAGTGCTCTACAACCGGTCTGGCATGTGACAGAAATATCAGATGACGCCAGAGTCGCCTTGTGGGAGGGATGGGCGGCATAAAAATTTAATAACTAAATAATAAATAAAATTACACACACACACACATGTTCTAACAGTAATGCTACAGTGTACATCACATAAATAATAGTAATACATTTCTTATCTACACAATTTTCTGTTAACCAGTAGAATTCATAACCTAGAATGATACAGAATAAGATTTCACATGAGTCGATGTAGGTAATAAAGGGGGAATTAGAATTTCCCGGAGAATAAAGGTAGTGTATAAAGACAATAAAGACAGGGCGTGACAGTAATGAAGGCACTTTCCTTCTTATTCCTAGTCGTTGGAAAAGTAAATGAGGAGGGATTTATATCCTCCGGCATGTTGTAGCATTGCCCTTTCTGCCTGTTTGATTATTGGCAATAAACATCAGCCTGGGGTACAGTCATGGCACATGGATTCAACAAGGTAGCATTTTGAACAATAAGTGAATCCAGTAAAATCGTTAGCCATGGTAACTGTCACTCATGGGGATCA